CTTTTTTTTTTTTTTTTTTTTTTTGGCCGTCGTCCTGTTTGGGGATGCAAACCCTCTACCTTAGTGTTATATCACCTTGCTCTAACGAACTGAACTAACGGGCCAGCACCAACAAATTCACTTCTGTTAATTTACTTTTCGTTAGTTTAAATCCTTAAAGGCTACAGCATCACATGGATTCTGTTTCCAATGGCCTTAGCGGGAAGGTTGCTTTGGAATTTGGCACAAACTATGCCACTGTTTCCATGACTATGAATTTCATTTCCCCAGATTACCCTGGTTTTGTTAAGTTTGCTGCAAGGAGTCACTGTTGTGTTCTTTGCTTTTACGCTTAAGCACTTCTTTTGCCCACAGTTGGGTTTCATCTCAGTCACAAATACCTTCAATATTAAGAGCTGTGTGGTCCCTTTGGTTCTGGAGACCGCACTTAGAGACAACAACAATGGCCTTGGACCACAGCCTTTTAGACATTCTTGCCTTTTAGAAGTCCTCTTCCCACAGGCTTCCACTGGCTCAAAATGGCAGAAAGAGAAAGCTCATTACTCCCATTTTTAAACACAGACACACACAGCTCTTGAGCCTGTGTGCATCTCCACACTACCTTACCAGTCTACTTCCTTTTATAACCACGCTCCTCAAAACAGGAGCATACACTTACTTCCTTATGTCCTGTTGGCTTTCCAACCTACTGTTGCTAAATACCTGTCACCACTACTCTAATGAGACAGCACTGACAAAGGTTCACCGGTAATCTTGCCCAATCAAGTGAGTTCTTCTTACTCCTTGACCTGATTTTAACTTTTAATCGTATCAACTGTTTCTTGAAACGCCTCACCCTGAGAGTCTGCTATGGTTCTTCCAGGCTGATTTTTTTTTTCTCCATTTCAGTTTTCCAGATTCCTGGAAGCAGTGTTCTAAAATGCAAATTTTATCATTCTGTTTCCCTGCAGGACCAATTTTTAATCTCCTGGGGCTCTTCAGTGCCTAACAATCAGAAATCCAGGCTCCTCTAAGAAGCCTTAAATCATACACCCTCTTTCAACCTGGATTACATTCTCTGTATATGTATTCTCTTATTGTACATGTGTGCTGAATGAATGTTTGCTTTTCTATGAATGAGAAGTCACTTTGTCACCCTGACACCTAGGAAATTGTAAGGAAGGAGTAAAGAAAGGAAAAGGAGTTAGAATACTATTGTGTTCTAGCAAAAAGGTAATATGGATCTGCAGTAAGGGCTCAACAAAATGGTAATATGGGAAGGAGAGAATTAATCAACTTGCCACTGTGTTCAAACTTTTTGATCATGGAGCTCTCTTCATAAAAAAATTTGAGTACATGCCTCTGATATACATATAGTGATTGATTATTAAATTACATATATGAGGTACTCTACTAATATGTAGTATAAAGCACAAAAATTAAAGGATGGGACAAAAACTTATAAAAACATATCATAATGTTGAAATCTCAATGGATGCTCTCCTGTGGAGTAAGAGCACATCCCTGTCATGATCACTGACCTCAAGGATGAATTGGATCCACAGCTTATTAGTATACAAGACCCTTTGTGATCCAGCCTCTAGCTACCTCTCCAGCCTTTTTGTAACCANTAAGAGCACATCCCTGTCATGATCACTGACCTCAAGGATGAATTGGATCCACAGCTTATTAGTATACAAGACCCTTTGTGATCCAGCCTCTAGCTACCTCTCCAGCCTTTTTGTAACCAATCCCTCCAACTTCTATACTCACTTTTCAACTCTCTTAAGCCTTAAAATTAACTTCTTTTTCAATGCTTTATTGGTCAGTATGATCCAAGTAGTTATTTTATATCTCTGTGTTTTTGCATTTGCCTTGAGTGGTCACTATCTGCATGGAAAACCATTGAGGCTTCAGCTCTAGCTCTGTTATTACTTCTTCCGAAGACTTCCCCAGTATCCCCCAGCACCAGCACCAAAGTTGTGAAAGAAGTTGCAAGGTCATGGGCAATAGGCTCTGGTGAAAAACATGAATCAAAATGACTCACAAAGATCTTTTTTTATTACAAGAGTAATAACTGGTTTTTTTGTCCTTTTTTTTTTGAGACCGGCCGCACCGCGCTCAGCCAGTGAGTCCTGTGAGTGCACCGGTCATCCCTATATAGGATCCGAACTCACAGCGGGAGCGCTACTGCGCTCCCAGCGCTGCACTCTCCCGAGTGTGCCACGGGCTCGGCCCTATTTTTAAACTTTTAATTGTCTAATGTCACAAACATACTAACAGGCAGAAAGTGATATATAACAAACATCTGTGTGCTCATTGCTAGGGTTAAGCAAATGTTAACATTTTGCCTTGTTTTCAATTTTTTTTTTTCTTTACAACAAAATTAAGTTACAGGTTAGTTAAAGCCTCAGTCCTCAATCCTTTTTCTCCCTCCTCCAAGGTAGCCACTATAGAAGGGGTTTTGTTAGCCACTTTTCTGGAAAATATTTGATGTACAAGGAGCCAAAGGTAAATTACCACCATTTGTGTAAAAAAGCCATGGTGAACAAGGATAAAAAACGGATTCTACAAGTAGGACAATGTAACTAGTTCATTATGGTGTATGTGAGATGACAGTCGGTTTGGGATTTTTCTTCTGCCACAGATGGCTTTATACTAGGGAGACATGAATTCCAGTTGCAGCTGTCTCTTTACTGGTGGCTATACTTGTCTTTGGTCTTGGTTTCATCTTTGTAAGAAGATAAAAACCTGTCTTTCAGAATTTTTGTAAGACTAAAACTTAGTCTTTAAAACATGTAACATATGTATGCCACAAGATAAATGACTTAAAAGTAGTATTACTTATTATTACCAATTTAATTTTGTCCAGAACTCAAACTAGTTAGTCATGCTGGTTAGACTACGTATTTCATCACCTTTTTCATGACATTTTACACATAGGTAATACTTGTCTAATACTTTGGGGCGAACCAACAAAGCTGTTTGGGGCTGGCTTGAAGTAACTACTGAGGGGCTCCAAGTGTCTCAGACTACCCTGTGGGCTAAAAGA